AATGACCGAACTTATCTCTTTGATTTAGGGCCAAAAATCAAGCTGGTAAAAGGAAAAAAAAAAAAAAAAGAAAAAAAAAAGAAAAGTCATATTGGCATGAAAGTGCTTATTCTTAAAATGGTAGTGTCTTACCTGCATAAGACTAAAGGTTCAGTTCCTTAAAAGCTTACATGCATGCTTGGTTCAATCACCTAGAATCAGACAGGTTTCACAGAAATACATTCAAAAACCAAGAGTTCATGTGTGTGATTAAGACCTCTTATCACTGTACATGGCTGCTAACTAATTCCTCAAACCCACTACCCCAGTTAAACCAAAAATCCCCCCTAAATCCCAGAGAACCTATCAATTTCTGTAGGTTAAATTTCACATGCTCCTTTTTTCCCCTGTTGTGCATTTTGCAAATTAAGAAGCAAGAAAACTATTTTCTTCTTGGACAGACTGATCAAGGCCGGTCATTGTTGGACTATATATACTGTGTTATGACACAATAGCTCTCTTTCACAGGCACCAGCACCAGTTAAGGTTGGGCACATCACTGCCAGCAGATTACATATTTTCAAATTGCACTACAGTTGCTGATCAGACCTGCTGAAAACAGGTGTAAATGTTTACTGCAACAATGCACTGCAGTATTTATATTGATCTGTGGCACTGCCAGAGTGATTGCAAGTAAATATTCTCTATAGAAAAACAACTTGAAAAGCTGCTGCAGCTAAAGCAAATTTTAGGCATTAATAGTAAGTTGTGCAAAAGAATTCAAAGAAAATATAACTTGACTAACTGGTCCAGAGTGTAGAAACAAACATGCCACTTTAATAATAGATCAGCTTTTTTATATACAAATACACAAAATATGTAAGAGATTATATATATATGCACATAAAGTTAGATAGAAAGACAGGTATAAACTCACACATACACTCTTATATAAAATGCCCTTTGTTTTCAAATTTGTACTGTGCCACTAGCATTTACACGGCTGGGTGCATACATTTCAATATAATGAGAAAATTTGCATTGCTAAAATAAGAATACTAGAGTGCTTTTCAAGAACCACGACACCATCATTTGCATTACAGGTTATTATTTACAAGTATTTAAGATGTTCTGTAAATCTATAATGAACATTGCAACAGTGAAAACTGTAATTTATTATGTAATGCGTTGTTATATAAATTGTTTAAATTGTGTACAATATACACAGACGATCGCTTCTACTTGGTTAAATATTAAATACAGCACTTTATTGCTCATCTTCAACTAATTTTTTCTCCCATTCTATATATTTTACTTGATAAAATTAGAGACACAAAATACCTCTCTGATGCCTTATTCTGTAGTTTGCTTTGTGTGTATTTTTTAATATGAAATTAATTATTCATACTGTCATCTTAATTTGACAAACTTTATAGTATTTTGTAAGAAAATATTTTACTCACCATATATTCCATTTTCCTTGCTACTTAACAAAAGACATTTAAGCTTTTCTGCAATGTTACCTTACCCCCCCAAAACCCAGTATCTTTCCAAGAGCTTCATGCAGCACATGACAGCAAATAAAAACCAAACAAAACCCACCACCGAGAAAGTTGTGCCTTTTTGACAATAGCAAGAGTGAACGCGTTAAGACACTGTGGAAGATGTTTCTTAACTTGTAATTCAGCAAAGCATAACAACTGTCTTAACTTCTTTCTCATTCAGTGGAGCACTCCAAGATATGAAAAGTGAGTTAAACAAACCATTTAGGAGAGTAATCACAAAGAGCAGCTTTTGTCTGGGGAGACCCTGGGAAAGTCGCCATTGGCTCCCTCTTTTTCATCTCAGGGCCACAGGCACCCATAACTGTTCTGGGGTAGGCTGTTGCTTTGAATTGCCCTCTAGTGTTAGCCTTCATTAATTCCTACCTCGATGACAAATGCTGTTCAGGTTTTTAATAACAGAAAGTGGGTCAGCAACATAAGTTATGTTAAGCTAAAAAAATTAAACAAAAAATTTGAACGGTGTTCCAAACTCATTTTCAGGTCAGAAGACTGTGAGGTTGACAAATAAGTACTACACACCAAAAACCAAAAATACAAGAAGTCTATATACCTAAAAAGCCCCCCCCCAAAAAAAAATCAAGGACAACAGATTTATTAAAGAACTTATGAACACTGTATTTTGCATTTCAGTGAGTTTCTTATGCAGTTTCACAAAAATATCAATTTCTGGAGCAAATACTCAATATTCACAGCCAAAATCATTGTCATGATGGTGGGATCAAAACACCAAAAAAACAGAGGAGTTGCTGGTGTCAACAGAACAGAGTTTAGCAGTACCAATGCCCTGGAAGGAATTATTGTCTCCCTGCTAATTCAAGAGTCTCCCTGTTACCACCCTAAACCCACAGGCAAAATAGGCACCATGAAGATCCAGATTTTAAACCTGGTAATACTAGGAAGAGAAGGCAAGCATTTTTCCCTGATTTTATTTCAAACCATGTTTTATCTGCCCTCAAATTGTTTAGAGAGGTCATGAATCTAGGACTTAAAAAAGTATGGAGAATATATTAGTAACACTTGCATGTCATAAAAGCTATGGATTTCCACACACATAGAATTAAAGATGAGCTTATGACCCTTTGTTTAAAAAATACTCTGGTCCTACAGAACTACAATCCTTCACTCTGACAGAGTTGAAAAAATATTTTTAGAATTAGGTGTTAACTCAATGAAGAAAAGTACAGATTTGAGTACTGCTTTTGTAACTCCTGTGCTTGGCATTAAAAGCAGCATTTTCCCTTCTCCTGAGAACCTGGAAAAAATCTTTTGGTTTTAGGGAGGAGAGGGACAGGGTAACCAGTACATAATCATTCTTGTTGATCAGGAGTTCTTTTTGCCTGTGGAAAATGCTGACAATAAGTGTTACAGTATTGAAAGGGAACTCTGTTCCACAAAAAACTTTTCAATATATTTTCACTTAGAGAAGGACTTTCTTATAAGAGCCATTGCAATGTTTCACAACAGATGGAGCATCTTCTTTGTCTAATTTCTGAGCTTGTCTAAAATATGGACTAACTTGCAACAAGAGAAAGCAAGGCATTTTCAGAATAAAGTAATAACATTCATAAGACCACAGGATCTACCCATTCTACCAAGAGAAAATTGTGCTCCAAAAGAATACAGAAATTATAAAGCAAATGTCTTCACCCACTGGAAGTCCTGCTAAATCTAGAAGTGACTTGCATGTCTAGAAGTGACTTAGATATCTATTTTGAAGCAGGAAATGATCAGTTAAATTTGGGAAGATCATAATCATGTTCATAATTACAATACTTTCTAAATTTTTAAGTTAATTTCCATATGAATATGAAAATGCATTTCCTTCTGTGGGGAGAAGGGACAGTTAAAAAAAATTAAAAAATATTTAAATTGTTCTTCATGTCAACTAGGAAGTGGAAATATAAAATCATAAAAATCTTTGACTAAAGGCTTTAAAAAAAACCACACCAACAAACCAAACCATCCACAAAATTAAAAAAAAAAAAAAACAACAAACCTATAGGACACTTACAGGAAGTAAAAACGAAGCTCTTAAAGTTTAGTGGGTTAAAGAAAAGGTATAAATACTTCAGAGGTATTTGAACATTACTAAGATTTTTAAGTACCTCACAAATTAAAAACAGATATTGCTGATAATCTTGCTTTGACTAGATTGTCTTGATAATGTATTTCAATAAAAAGAACTAATTCTCTTATAATACTGGTCTAAAAATTTAGAATAAAAAAAAGACCTGCCCCAAACAAATGCAGAAAAAAAAAATTACCATGAATATCCATGTGTTTGAAAGAAATACAAAATTAACAAAGCTAGAAGCAATTGTTTATTCAAATACACTACTCAATTAGCAATTGCATCTCCATATATGCCCTGTTTTTAGTGTGCAAACAGCAGTCTAAACCAAGGTGTATTAAGAAGCCATCAATACACCATATGAACACTTAACAATTTTGATTACATTTTTCATTTCCCCACTGAAACCTTCAATGTATGGGTCTACATAAATTCTTCCTCAGACTTCTGTTGAAAATAAACAAAAATAACAATAAAAAGGGGGCAATGTGTTACTTATATATATTTACATTTGAGTGAGAAGAGTGTTTAAATATCCCAGTTAGCATATTTTAACTATTTTTCCTAAAGAATTTTCATGCCATTTGCTTTTCTTTTCCTATTGCCTAGCAAGATCATTTTATCAACAGACAAGGAAAAATTATGTGTAAGTATGCCAGTCTTAAATTCTTCCTATATACATGTTTCATTCACTGTCTGAAGTAACAATAAAAATTAATGTCTATTTAAATCTAATAGTCTACAAAACTCCACTTTAAAATAATGTAGGGCTGGATTTAGTTTAAACTAAGAAAATCCAGAACATTCAATTGCTTCAGATTTAAAACTTAAAATAGTCATGCCTAAGATATCAAACAATGGTTGATTTTACATGTATTGAAGTAACTAGAAATGGGTTGCATTTATAGCTACAGATCTCTTTCAGGAAAATTATTTCAGTTGCCTTTGCAAAGCAAGAGAAGTCCTTAAAGAAATCATAAACGAATTGTAAAAGTAATCTGCAACAGCTCCTTGTGGATGAGTAATAAGCTTGCATTGTCAGCTTTCAAATTATGATTTAGTTAACAAGACTTGTAGAGCCTCAAGTGTTCTACCTATAGTAGGAACAGCAGAAGTGGCCATGAAAAGTCCCACATCTGAAGCACTTCAGTAAAGAAGTCTGCACATTTTTATCTTTTCAACCTCATTACAATCAGATATTGCAAAACAGTTTACAAAGTCAAGCACACAGCTTGCAATAGCCACACCAGCAATTTTTAAGGGGCAAGCACTGCAGACCCTTAATTCAGGCTGAACTTGCAACAAAATCAGTAGTTGTTTTGCTAAATAAGAACTACAATAGGAGAAGCTAAGAGTAGGAAAATAAAACAAACACACCCCACCACCTTTTTTGCAAGTTTCATCTACTCTTCAGGTCAAGAAACATTCATGTTGACTACCGAGTACAAAATTGCTCTAGAAAAAAAAATTAAAAATTAATATGGGCCAAAATTCAGCACAAAAATATTCTAGAGCAAATCAACACCTTAAGTGCACTCTAATCATAACTGACAACTGCAGCACTCTTAAAAGATACTAGAGCTTGTAAATGGGACTCAATTACTACATTACTGCAAAACTCTTTGCACTTTCTAAAAAAACATTTAGACTTGTCTTAAAGTTTTAAATACTTCAATATATACTAAATTTGTAAAAGGAAAGAAAGTGTGCATCTAATGAGAATACCATTCTGCAAATCCTTATTCATGGTTGTGAGTCATTAGAACTACTTGTGTATATTAAAGTTTGTAGGATTAGACCCTAAATGTAAAATCCCTTTGATTTACAGTTGTGAACCAGAAACCACCTTTTTTGCTGAATAAGAATCTATGAGAAATACTCTGAACCTGTGTCAGACCAAGGAACACTCCATCAAACTTTCACCTTTTAAATATCTCACAAGGGAGCCTTAGATACCTTTGCCTTGCAATATAATCCTGATTTTCATTAACAAGAATGTAACTGCTTTTGTACAGGAAAAAAAAAATGAACAAACTCAAACCGTTCAGTGAAATCCTAAAATCCTTATTTTCCTAGGAAAGCCAGTAGAAAAAAAGGAAAAAAAAAAAAAGGAAAAAAAGAAAATAAGAAAGAAAAAACAGCACTGTAGTACCTCCAAAGCAGTTTCTGGACAGACCGAAATATTTATTTATTTGGGAGCATATTAGGCATGTTACCCAAACACAGTTACAGCATTAATAGAAGTACTTTCACTGTGTGTTTAATCACATAAAGAAAGGATTAAAACTGAAAGAATTACCTACTCACTAATCACAAACTTCAAAGCTTATATAAAGTTAAGGTTTACTTCCTATACTTTCTGTATTCAAAATTTTCTTACTCAATTAAGAATTTTCTCTAGGAGGCCTTAACCACCCTAAAATCATATTATTGTATAAAAAATATATTCAGAACCCATCTGCCTCAAATACTTCTGTAACAGGAGGTGTACTGCTGGTAAATTCCAGTAATTCTTCAGTTCTACCAGCCATTACTTACAACAATGAGGAAATATGAAATTTACACCTCACTGGATTTGCTTGGTAGAAATTAGGAGTTACTGGGATAAACTGAAATTTTGGGTTTTTAAAACTCCTCTGATTTTAAGGTACAATTACTTCCTACAAAGAAGAAGTGCTCTTGAAGACAGACAGATTTGATTAAGGATAAAAACTGAATTCCAGCTGAAAGTTGGAATTGCTAAAGTCACAACATGTTCATAAAATTTGTTGTACAGCAATATGTTCTGCTGAAGATAAAGTCTTGCAGATTTTACTATTCCATTTTGTATTTAAACAAATTTACTCAACCCAAGACCAGTTACTATTTTAATTTCAATTGTCTGTGTAAATGGTTAGTTAGGACTGTTCGTATATGAGTAGATAGGTTATGATTACTCTGAATGGATTTCTCAGTTTCAGCCAAATGAGTACTTTAAGTGCAAAGCAGGACTTGCAATATGAGTGTAGCACAGTCCATATAAATTCCTCTAAATTGTTCAGTGTTTTGCTATATAATATCTGTTTGCCAACAAATAAAATAAATAAAATTTCTGAATATTCTGGTACAGATGCAAGGCTCTGAAAACTTGTTCTTTTTTTCTGTTTTCTGCTTCTTTGCTTGTCAGGTAGCTAGTTTATTAATGCCTTTAAAACCAAATTTTACACACTACATGGAAATACACTCAGCTAGCTCTCTATTCTGTTCTATTCTTAACACACCCTCCCAACAAAAAAAAATAAAGTTATTGAAAAATAATTTTTTTATATCATCCATACTTTGTTTTTGGATTAGCAACATTTCAGTTGGAGTAATTCCCAAGACAGGAATATGAGAACAATACTATATAGAGAATTCATATAGCTCAAATGGATCAAGGCTGTTGCAAACTCAGCTTTTTATATATATTTTTGGCCACTTCATTTCCTTCTGAGCACAGCCTGTGTTAATACTTTTACTTAGTGTTTATAATTTTACAGGAGTGTAAAGAAGAATTATTTTAACAAATAATAAATTCTTGAACAATCCCATTAGAACCGGCCTATTTTGAATACTCTGAATAAGTTATACTACTGTGCACATTTTTTAAAATAAAGAACATATGTAATAAGAGAAATGTTAATATAATATATACCATGCTCATGCTCCATCAACCTTCCAGAGAGTTTTTCAATCACAGGAGTAAGCCATTCTCCAAAATCAGCTCTCTATTGAAAGGTCAAAACCTGCAATAAAAATGTCATGTATTATAACATATTTCCAACACCCACAGTTTCATGGTTGATCCCCAAACATAGATGTAGGTCATCAGCTTGACCCTCGCATTGTCTGTGTTACAGGAAATCCTAATTTTAAAAATACTTTTTTTTTAAACCAAACTGACTTGATTAGGAACACCTGTGATATGCCTCTTTATTATCAGAAGCCTCCTGAAACAAATCAGATTAGCATGTTTCTGCTTTCATTCTACCCACAGCATTTTAAGATGAAAGTAAGAGGAAGGAGGAAGAAAAAAAAAAAGAGAAAAAAAAAAGAAAAAAAGAGAAAAAAGAAAAAAAAGGAGTAAGGGGTGTTGTTCTCCCTTCCTACCCACTACCAATCCCTCTCTCCACCCTCAAACAAGCAAACTGGTAAGTTTTTTTAGTGAGCAAAGTACTTAATGAATGTGTGATTACTGCTGTCATATTTCCTAAGATATGCTATTGACTGTTAAGTATTTAAATTCTAGTGTTTCACTTTAAGGAATTTGAATTTTTTTTTTTTGCTCTTCAAGGCAGTACCATTATTGCCTTTATTAAAATTTGGCCTACAAATATTAGCTACTTTAAAGCATATAATGGAAAAACTACAGTCATATAATACTTTCTGAGAGAGGAAATAAAATTTTAAGAATTAAAAAAAAAGAAAAAAAATTAAAAAAAAAAAGAGAAAAAAATTACAAGAAAAGCAGCAGCCCTGATCAGGTAAGAACAAAGTATAACTTGACAGATGCAGTAAAAATAGCCAAATAGCTACTGGAGGAAATACTGCATTCACAGAGACAAAATCTTAAATCTGTTTTGACTTTATTTGAACTTTTCATTGTAGACGCCATAACAAGACACATCCTATGTCTAATAAATGAATAGCTGATGCCTAGATCACGTCACCTGCTCATAAATACTTCCATAAATTTGTTCTTTATTCTTTAAGAGTATTCCAGAAAATACTACAACCCCTCTCACAGCTATGGACTTATAATAATCACCCTGCTTTAACAAGAAAAAGGAGTTTGTATTTTCGTGTATTCCACACATCATGTATTTCACCTTTTAAAAAAAAGTTTTTGTTCTTTAACCAAACACACCAAAGTTGTAGTTCCCCTCTGTGCTTATATTGAGATTTAACATACTTGAAGATTATATTGAAACTGGACTTACATAAAGCTATTTAAAATGAAAATACATGCCTAAGCCCTATACGATGTGTAATTATCTTTTTCTCAGACCAAATCTTCAAGAAAATTTCAGTTCATGCTAAATAAAATAATTAGTTGTAACAATATTCAATGCTGAAAACTTTATTAATAATCTATTTACTGCAGATTCACTCACTACAGTGTCTGAAAACAAACTAAATAGTCACGGGGTGGGGGGGTCCTATTTCTAACAGTGGTTTCCTTTAGACATTAATAACGAGCACTGAAAGTCACTCCTATCTTTCAGTTTTAAGCAATATAACAATATCGCCTTCAGTTTTAGAAGACATCTTGGGAAACCTTTAACAAAATAAAAGCTAAATGTACATAATTTACATTTGCTACTGTTGTGTGCATATGGTAATAAATGTGTGTGTGTGATGTCATCCTTACACACTAGCAACTGTTTATTATCGAGCTCTGGAAAAGTGTTAAGAATTAGATAAGCTTTAAAAATTTAATATTCTCTGTAAAAAGAACTTTTTTTTTTTGTTTTTAATGGTACACTAAAAATATTATTACATGCAAATATTAGAAGAAAAAATTAACCAACTTTAAGTGTTAGCTGGACTAGAGCTCAAGTTGTCCTCCCTCCTTTAACACTCATCCAAATATCCTAAAGTTCTCACACAGCATTCAAAGCTAAGATGAGAACTATTCCTCAATTGTGGTAATATCAACTGTATCCCAAAGTTCTGTTATTAGAATAAGTATTTTTAAAACTTACAGGAAAGGGTTAAAAAAATAATCAGTATAGAAATTGCCTTACACCCTTATGGGCAGAAATTTTTATACCTAGCTTACTCTGAATATTTCTGAAATTGTTCAGTATCCACAATGAAGACATTTTTTAAAAAAGAGATTCCTTTTGAAATCCAACTTATGTATTAATACACCAGTAACCTAAAAATTCGACATAACTCCTGCCAATAATGCACAAAAAACCCCTGCAAAGCAACATTTTCACTGACTAAAAGAGGTTACTGGAAATCTGTGGCTACACCTCTCTACTCTGCCTGATGTCCCCTTTCTATTTGAGGGGCATATCAACTTTTTTCCCTATCTTTAAAATACATTACTAGTGCTATTAAAAAAATAGATGGCTGTGAGAAGAGTCACAAGGGACTAAGTTCAAAAACAATTTGGGCAGCCTGTTCAAACAAAATCTTTCAAGTACTACTGATAATAGAAAACACAATTTTTTGAGATCAGGTTCCAGTGTTAGATATTAAGTGTTTAGAACTTATAATAATATATAGGTGAAAAAAAAAACCAACATGGAGAACACTTACTGGTGTACATGAAGTTATTTTTAGTTTTAAAAACTTTCTGACAAAAATATTTTTATTTCTACACAAAAGCCTACAATTTCATCCTCTATTTCTTTCCCAGACAGTCAAAACTAGTCCAAGATGCGCTCTACACCCTTGACAGTTTGTAATGAATGTGAATTACTTAAATAGCTTGCAATGGGCCTTTGGGTGTGGGTGGATGACTGCATCTACAAAGCAGAATACCTGCAGCATATTTGTAGAATACAGTGATAAGCTTCTTGGTTCTCCCTTACATATTCAGGAGTTAATTGCTCCCCAGAGCAAATAACAGAGCTCAGCAAGGCCCTATAAGAGGACCACTAGCTGATCTGTGGTGACTTTTCCTGTAAAGAAAGCTCATCTGCTTTTACACGTGTAAAAGTGTATCAGAAAAGCAGTGATACACCTGTTAGGATGCTTCTGACAGTCAAGATAGGTGAGATGTGCATCTTCACACAGTGTTCACAGGCAGGGTATACAGAGCCAGGTAGTTTGTATGCAGTTCCAGTTGTAATTCACTGCAGAATTTGACTTATTAGTCATAAAATAATTAAGGAATTAAAGACTCCAATTTATTTTTCTTTCCATGACATTACATTTTTGATGGAATAGTAACAGGTTCAGAATTCCAGAAGCTAAGGATAAAAAAACCCCAGACAATGAACTAAACAGAAAAAGAACCCCATGATACCTTGGTATCATATACGTAGTCTGCCTTTAAAATGTTACTACAATAAGCTTGCTATGAACTATTAGCCTAACACATTAAAAGGTCACACAGATACACAGTCATACTTTCAAATTACTGTTATTTCTGAAAATTAAAAATTCTCAAGAGCCACTTTCATCTTCAGTAGATTTATATCTACAGGGTACCTCTTCAAAACTTTCAGTAAAACTTTAGAGGAGAAAAAGAAAAAAAAAAAAAAAACAATCCCGAACCAAATGAAGCTTATTTGGATGTTTTTCCTAAGAATCAAGATAAAGGACTAAACTCAAAAGAAACTAAGGAAAAAAAAAAATTTAAAAAAACCCCCACACACTATGCTACATGTTATACCTAAGCAAGGTTTAATTGAGCATAGAACTTTAGCTTTCGCTTATTGATAAAATATAAATATATACATTTAGATATTCAAGTTCAATTGATATTTCCTCCAAATGCAACTTTTCCAGGGCCAAGTAATCCCTGTTAATGTTTGACATTTTAACTGAGGTAAAAAATGCAAGCAGCACTACAAGGGTCTATTTAAACTACGTGATTTTTCCCCCCTAAATATCTCAAAATAAGGAGTACATCAAATATAAGAAAGGAAAAGTTACTTAAAATATGCTATATATTCATATTAGATTGCTTACTGCTTTCATTTTAGCCACACCCACCTTTATGTAATTGTAAAATATGAGAACAGTGCAGCTGAGAAATAAGAAAGCTTAAAAGAACAGTTGTTTCATGTAGTCAAATATGTGCTAAGCACAGATTTTAATTAAAATGAAAAACAGGTATAAATTGCATGCTATTGAACACGACTAGTGGGGAAAAATGCACACGCACCTGTACAATACTGATTTATAGGGGTTTTTTTTTGTAAATTAGCTATGAGTCAGGACAGTTATTTCATTGAAAGTGAAAGTCAGTATTTGTGAGTGCACTTCCACAGCGGAGTAGTGTAAATCTCTTCAAATTCTGATATTTCAAAGTATACACAGCTACAGTGAAACAGCTTTGTGCACATTCCCATACTGACTGTCAAAAACATTTCTGAAAACACTCTGAAAGTAATGATGCAGAGCAAAAGAAATGAGTACTAAACCTCAATAGGATCTTACTAGTATCTCAATTTCAAGGATTAAGTGGAATTTTCTTATCAGGGCACAAAGGTATGAATTGCGGAGACAAACTAAGCAGCTATTCCCAGGAAAAAAATAACTGAAAAAGTGTAATTTATGTACTGGATTAAAAGAATCCAGGGAAACTAGGGATTTGAGACAGAAAAATCTCCTTGAACTGTTGGATTTCTGCATTACACAGAAAATACCTTGAATCACAATCCAGTTGCCATGCTGGAAACGCTAAGTTTTGCATTTCACTTTAAGACTACACGCTCTCAGCCATGTACACAGAAATCTTTTGTACAGCACTTCTGCACCCCAACTCTTCTCTACGTCCCTCCTACGTCCCTCGGTTAACTCGTTATTTTCGGTGCCCGGGGTGCTTAAGCGCAAGGCGGCCGCTTCTGGCTTTGAACGCGGCGGAGGGATGCGCGGGGGGGCAGCGTGGGGGGAGGAAGAGGAGCGGGGAAAGGCTGTGACCCGGTCCAACCTCCCAGCCCCGCGTCCCTGCGGGCAACCAGGGGGGGCAGCAGCCGGTCCAGCCTCGGCTGAACGGGCGCCTTAACGGGGGGCCCGATGCTGCATTCGCTGCGCATCCTGCGCGCCCGCCAGCTCGACGGCAGCCCCGGGCGCCCGCCGCTCACACGGCATCGGGGAAAATATCCATACGCCTTCCTGCCTCCAGAAAAAAAATATTGAAATAATAACGATTAAAAAAAAAAAAAAGGTCGGGCGGCCGAAAGTCAAAAGGGAAGTAGGAAGAAGAATAAAAAGTAAGGCTTAGAAATTGTGGTTGGGAAGGAGCCCGCTGGCCTGGCAGCGCCCGAGCTCCCTCCCGGCCCCGCCGCACGGTGCTGTCCCCGCCGGCGCTCCCGCCACAAAAAGATGCCTTGTTGAGCCTGTGTGCGCCACTCCGAAACGCGAGCGCCCACGCCAGAGCCGGCCCCGAGGGGGTTAAACGGCGTCGTGGAGAAAAAGGCACCGTGTCACATATTATGTGTGTATGTGTGTGTGTGTGTGTGCGGAGGGGGAATCGCCCAGCGCACAGGCTGCGAGAGATCTCGGCGCCTATCACAATAAGCACGATCGCGTTCATCCAGCTACGAGAGAGCGAGAGCTGCTGGCCACCGAGAAATGACATAGAAACAACCACCAAAAAATAGCTAAGCCAATGACAAATAGCGACCCGGGTGACAGAGACAGAGAATTTTGTAGGCGGAGAAGAGGAGGTGAATGGCCAGCTCTGATCACAGTATTAGGCTGGGCTATCTATGGGGAGGGTATTTACTCGGTTTCGGGGTGTGTGGGAGGAGAGGAAAAACACCTACAAATAGCTGGCACGATTCAAATGGTCTCGGATTATGTTTCCCCCCCTCCAGTCCAGGAAGGAAACTCGCGTTTTAACGCTACGAGGGGGAAAAAATAGCTCTGTGCAATAGGGGATGAAGAGCATTTTGGTCATTCGTTAATACCCAAAGGGGCAGAGATGATAAATGTGACAGCATGTGGCAGCACGACCGTCACCCGGGCTCCTGCAAAAGGCGGCTCCGTATCGCGACACGGGAAATTAAGCGATTGAGTGGGAGGTGGAGAAAGCGCTTAAACGGAGAAGTTAATCTGCTAACATGGAGAGGAAACAAACGGAGAAAAAAAACCCGAAGGTTGTCCTCTATATATTTTTTTTGGGAGGGTGGGGGTGCGGGGGGAGAAGGGAAAGGGAAGAGAAAGAACGAAGGGGCATTAATCCAGCTTACGAAAACATGGGGAGAGAGGAAGGAGGAGGCGGGGGGGGTGGGGGGGGGTTGGGGGCGGCGGGCGAGAAAGGGAGATGTGCATGTAAGTGTGGAAGTCATCCTGGCGGCTGCTGCTGCAGAGCCGGGAAGCAGGAGCCTCCGTGTCCCGGGCGCTGCCCCGAAATTTCCACGGCGGAGAGCGGGGAGGTGGGGGGGTGGGGGGAGAACGCGGGAGGGAGGGATCCGCTGGCGGGGGGTGGTAGGGACCGGAGGGGAGATGAGGGGAAGCCTGTCCTATCATGTCCCGGGAGCGCGGGGCACCGGGACCCTCTGGAGCTCCGGCTGTCCCGCGGCTCCCGCCCGCCCCCCCGCGCCGCTCTCCCGGGCCGGGTGTAAGCGGCGCTCCCGGGATCGCCGCCGGGGCGCGGTGCCGCCCCGGGGAGCAAGCAGGGTTACCTGCCGGAGGAGACGGCCGCTCCCGACCGCTGAGGCTGAGGGAAGCGAGTGACAGATCCGCCCAGGACCTGCCGCCGCCTCCCGGAGCCTCCCGGCCCGCTGCCCGTCGGGCTCCCGGGGTCACTTTTCCCGGCGGCGGGGTGCAGGTCGCCCCCGTTTTCCAAAGACGCTCTTCCCCCGCCCGCCCGCCCGCCCAGCTCCCTCTGCCCCAGCCGCGCCCGGTCCCTCCGGCTCTTACCGCCTGTGCCGGCGGCGGCAGCGGCGGCACCCGCTCCGAAGCGCAACGGCGAGGGTGGAAGCGGGGTAGCGGAGGGGAAGGGAGGTGAGTTTCGCGGGGCGGGAGGGCGGGCGGCCCCCGCGCCTCCCCCGCGGCGGCGGTAGCAGCGATGCGATCGGGCATCACTCGAAAATGGCGCCGAAAGAGCGGAGGGCTCTTCATTCAAATTCGTTAGCGCCAGCCCCGCCGCCCCGGGGCATGCCGGGAACGGGGGGGGGCGCGCGGGGGCTGAGGCGGCAGCGCCGCACGGACACGGCGCTCGCTGTCAATGCCGCCCCTCCCCCCCCGCTCCCGCCGCCCGCGCGCGCGCTCCACGCCCTCCCCGCTCACCGCGCGCTCCCGACCCAACCGCCGCTAATGGGGAAAGGGGGGGTGGGGGGGGAAGAGAGGGAAGGAGGGAGGGAGAGAGAAAGAGAGAGGGAAATGTCACCCGGAGCCCGGGCCCGCGGGGGAGAGGTGGCGCGTTAGAGATGTGTGTGGGAGAGAGGGAGCGAGAGAGAGAGAGGGGGAGCGAGACCTCCGCTGGCCCCGCGAACTTGTCAAGGTAAAGGCGCCGGTGGAAGGGAGGGGGGTGGATAGGGGGGCACGACAGCGGATTTTGGGAAGGTAGGGAAAGGAAGCCTGGCTGGGGGAGGGGGATGTGCGCCAAGAGGACCTGAGGAAAATATGAACAGCGCCTCCCCCCCCGCGCCCCCCCGCGCCTCCAAGGACCCCCGCGGCTCCCGCTGCGCTCAGGTTGCAGCCTGACCCCCCTTGTCCCCCACCATGGCCGCGCACCCCGCCGCAGCCAGAGGAGCGTTCGGAGCGCTCGGCTCTTGCCCGCAGCGCGCGGGCCCGATCCCGATCCCGACTGGCAGCCGCCGCTCCCCATCCCCCTCCTGCCGCCGCACCGGCTCCGGGCGGCAGCGCCCCGGGGCGCCCCCCGGCCGGGCTTGCGAGCAGCCCCTGAGCGGCGGAGCGGAGCTGTGTGGGCTCATCCCAGGGCAGAGCGGGCCCGGAGCGGACTACACTGGTCATTGCAAAAAAAAAAAAAAAAAACAAAAAAAAAAACCAAAAAGAAAACCATACCAAAACAAACCCCAAACCAACTAAAATACCCCCCACACACAAAAAAAAAAAAAAAAAAAAAGAAAAAAAAAAAGGCAAAAAGCCCTCTCGGAGGAACTTCACACAGCGAGGTTCAACTCGGGCAGCGCTCCCGCCTCGGTTGCGCGCGGAGCGCTCGGAGAGAAGGCGAACTTTCATTTTCACGCCGCATCCTCCCCTCCCAAGCTGTGACTGATCGTAACATACCTGATGGCCGGGTTAGTGCTCCCACCCGCGTTTCAGGGATGGGGAAGCCGAGATGGAGGTTAGCGAGCTGCCGAAAGCCGCGGGGGGAAGGCAGGCTACAGTGCTACCCGAGCCACTCTCTGCCTGCACTTGACTTGTGCCTCATGAAGGGTCCTTCCCTGGGAGTTCCGCAGACCCTGCCTCGGCTGGGAGACCCAGCGCATCCCTGCCAGCCGCTCCTCGAGCTTTCTGCCTTCAGGGTTTCGGGGTTTTTTTACTAATCTGATGCACTTTTTAGAAAGGGAAAGGAAAGCAGGGGCCTCAGACCTGCAAACTGTTGTTCTCATGACTTAGGGGAAGATTTTTCAAAAGTACATAATGGGCGTCTGGGAGCTCTGCTCCCACTGACTTTCAAAATCTTCCCTTCACGTCTGTGAGCAAGTCCTCTTGAACTCGGTTGGACTGCTGGCAGACGAGCGCTAGAAGGCTCAGGGCCTAATGCTTTTCATGATTCCACTGCTCCCTGCTAGAGCTGCACTGACAAAATATAAGCAGAACAAGTTTTGAAAGGGAGAGGTAATTTCTCTCGCTCTCTTTTTTTTTTTTTTTTTAGCCACCGCTACAGTACAAAACACCAAGCTTTTGGGCTCAAAAAGCCTAGACCATCATGGCTACAAAAACTGCTGCTGCTCAGAGAGTATGTAATTCTGGAGCTCCTTAAGGAAAAAAGTAGTGCGATGCAACATGTAAGTAATCACATAGCAAATATTATGCATTTATATTATTATATTTTCCTCTGAACTGAAGTTTGGTGCTGCTAAAGAAACTGATTCCTAATTTTCTAAAATCAAGTTCTCAATGAAAATGAGCCAGATGACAAAACTTCAGATCGTAAAGCCATTCTATTAAGAAGGAGGAAATATAAATTATTTGCAGTATCTTTACTTCTTTGCTCTTTTATTAAAATTACTCTGAGCAAAATTTTTGAAAAGTATGCCTTTCAACTGAAAAGAATGGTAGTACATATTTTCTAATTTTTTTTTCCCTGAAGGTTATGTGCCTGTGAAAAAAAAAACTTTGCAGTAGAAATAGCAGTGAAAAGAGTAAAGAAAAATATAAAATTATGGTCTTGCTGATACCACTTATCTGTACTTATATTTTGTATAGTTTTGCCCTAAAATAATTCTAGTTATTATTTTCCACCCATTTTTCCAACCCTAATATAAAAATAAGATGTAGAAAATAGTGTGTCAATATTCTGTGATATACTGTTTCTGTGATGCATGGTATTCTTTTATATGAACAGGATGCTACTTTCAGATATCATTCCTAAGATTTCATTAAGATTTTTAATGAAAGTGAAATTTTTACATCCCCTAATATCTAGTACTTGCTCTCAGGTTCCATTCGTAATGCACACAGGCCCTGTTCTGCACAGACTGAAATGTATATTATTATGTGTAAGCACACTGAGAAGTTCTCTTTATTATTATGCTCTTGTGTTTCAGACTTACAAAGCTAACAGTGACATTACACAATCATTATTCTCAGAATTACTTAAGACTGCATAAAGCTTAAACCTAATGTGATAGTCTTAGTTTACACCTTCCATCCATATCTCTTAAATAATGCACAATTACAATAATTTGTGGATCAGAATGGGTAAATATTTAACTGAGAATATTTAGAAGAATATCAGAACAATTTAGAAAAGCAATTGCTGTAGTGTAAAAATCCATGTAAGAGGAGGTGGCTATTGCATTCTTTAGCTGTAGCGTCTGGGAGAAGATCATCAGTGTGTTTCCTCAGTGACTAGCCAAGCCAAAAAGTCACAGCAGGAACACAGCTGAGGACAGAAGGAAAGAAAGGGATTTTGAGCCTCACCAAAAATAATGTAAATCTTTTAGATCAAATTTCCATCCCAAACAAATTGGACTCATCAGAGTGGTGGTTGTCTTATCTGCTGTAGAAGGAGATATAGAAACTGCAGATAAGCTGCAGTTTCTATAATCATTTCTTCATGCAGTTCTCATTCTGAACACCTCCTCATAGTGCCTGTCCTGCATTACAGGTCCTTCTCCTCAGAGAGTGCCATTAAATTGTCAGAGAATCTCCTCATACAGTAAGAAGTGACATGACCAGCATTTGTCATATTATCTGCTCTTTTCTTGCCAAGGGAAGGAGCATGTGCAATTGAATGTGTTCAGTTTATTGTATCTGCCTTTTCTTCCATACACATTATGTCTTTATGTTAGTGAGATAAGGCTGAAGTAATATGTTTTGTTCTTCAAGCAAGGTGCAGTTAGATTTCTGATGGCCCTTAGTTCTTGGGCAGTTTCATTCATTAGACTGAAAGTTCTGTCTTTAGAACTTTCAGCATTTTTTCCCACTTCTTGCCTAGGTGCTCTTATGTCAGGAGTGGGAAACTGTTGCCAACTGGATCCAGTCTAGAGACCTAGAAAGCTCTTCTTTAGGAATCCTGGTTTTATGCCCTGGAGAATCCTGAGCCCCCAAATTTCTAAATTAAAAGTCTAGAGAAAATCAGTGTAAATAAGGGCTTATAATAACCTCCATTGCTAAGATGACATCCCCCCCAGCTTCCTGTACTTGGAGTTTCCTATATGCGCAGGCTTTGTGCTTGGATATACTGGATTGCTTAGATCCAGTTGAGAGGTGGCAAAACCAAAGCAAGGCACTTGTCTGCTGAAATGACACAGAAACTCATAGCTAGGGATGGTTAGAAAGCTGGAGGCTGTCTTCTGGCTCAGGCACGCATTACTTTACAAATTACCTTGCTATGTGTTTTTAAGATTTATTTTACAACTGTGAGGATTAGAGGAATTTGTTGTAATGAAAACTGGCATTGTGTCATTACTCTGTAACTTTTTAGTTAGATCATTTGGCTTGCCTGGGTTCTTGCATGTTTTTCTATTTCATCTGGAAAGTTCCTAGGTAATTTAGACCAGTTGGGGGGCACTAAGGTACACCCACATGATTATAATAATTGCACACCTACATATTGTTTTGGTATTCAGTGTTTGTACTGTATCTGGACATATAGTCAGTGGAAATTTGAATTTTTTTTCCTACTTATTTTTCTAATTTGAGCCCTGCCTTGCCCCTGATGCTCATCCAGCCTTCTAAATCCTTGTTATAGGTTCATCTAAGCCTCCCTTCAGGCCTCCCCTGTACATTTCGTATCACTTGAAGTTTAAAGTTTCAGTTTAATAACCTAGTAACTGTAGTTGGGCATCCTCCTTCATGTGTATTTTGCTTTCTGCTGTAGCCATTCAGTCTCTATTTTACCCTGATAAATACCCTGAAATTTGGAATTAATTGCTTTGCAATTTTAGTCTGCTTGCAATGATAGCAGTTGTAATCTAGAAAGGACTGAAGTGGACAGCATTTACCGCAGTACAATGAAAACAGAGTTTTGAATTTGCCAGAATAAATCTGGTCTAAGGATACTTCTATAGACTGTAAGGACTGCAAGAAGTATGTGCTGGCTTAGGACATGCATATGCTTTATTAGATTTCCTATATACTTCCATGTGAAAAATAAAAGTAGCTTTTTTTTTTTTTTACCTCCTGATCTTTCAAGAGCAAACCTTCAATTTATATTTTTTTAAACCACTAAAATACTCAATATGGCATAAACACTAGTGGTGTAGTCATCAAAAGGTTGGATTTCTATGTTTTGTTAGCATCTTATAGTATTGACTCCTACATATCTATAGGCCTGACTCATAATAACAAACCTATTCCTGAGGATTTAATAAGGAGTTGGTATTAAACTTAGGTTCTGTGGTAAAGTTTTGCTTAAATGGTCTAACTGTAACTTCTAAACATTTTAATATTTTTGTGAATTTAATGGTTATGAAAAGTTCTGTCTTGGTATCTGTGAAAACTGAAGCTCACTCTTTTATTGATGGATTATTTACAGCAGAACAGTGGCCAAGTGATCTTCTCCACAGCAGCCATGAACTTCAATCTTGAACCGAAGAAGACTCATCAAATGGTGAGAAAAGAGTGTGGTTGTCATGACTTTTAAGTTAGGGATGCTCTATTATTTTTTCCTGTTTAGCACTGATTCTTTTATTTAATAGGTATTGAAGTTAGTTTTTGTGGGGTAATTTCTGGGACCATAACATAATTTTTCCTCCACACCCCATATTTCAGCTGTTAATTTTTCAAGCTTTGCTTTATTCCTTGCTGTCCTTAACTTCAAAAATAATTGTTAGTGATACACTGAATTCATTAGTTAATTTCTTTATTACTTTCTTTAGCCTTAGTCCTGTTCAAATGAATACTTTTATCAATAGCACTACTCAGAAGAGTAAAGTTCAGAATATATGAAGCTGTTTGAAAGACTGAAGTTTAAATTTTACAGATGTGAGTGCCTGCAACTAAATGAAATGCTGCTGAAATGACTGCAGGAGTGGGGAATCTGAAAGTGCTTTTAGCTAGTATTAGTTTGTTTGCTCTTTTGCATACAATTTGTTTCTTTTAAGACTGAAAGATGCAAGATGTTAATTTGCTTCTCTATTTTCCCAGTTTCTAGGAAGTTTTGAACTCTGAACTTCACAACATTTATAAAATTTTAGTAGTGTTCATAATTCTGGGAAGAACAAAACATTATTTTGTTTAGCCATTTTGTGAAAAGGTGACTGAATATAGAGGAACTATTTCTCTTTTTCCTTAATCAGGTCTTTAAGCCTAGTCATAAGAATCACTCGGTAATCATTTTTATATGTATGGGTTTATTAAGCATGGATCTTAAAATGAGGAGTTTCCTTTCTTTTAGAGATATAAATAAAGGATGGTAGCAGGGGCTTGCTTGTGTAAGAATATAGTTCTTAACTGTTGTTGTTGACTTCCTGATAATTCAGGTAGGTGACAGTTTAAAATAATGGTGCACAGAATGATCCATAGCTCAGGAGATGGATCACAGTGACCAGAAGTTCAAAGAATGCTGAGAGATGCCCCAGACATTTTTGGTATCTCAACAAATCAATTTTTGTTTTCCTTTAGTAACTGTATTGTAGAGTAAGGAGTAAAAGGGACAGAACCCTATTAGCGGCTTATGATTTCCACAGTTTATCCTCTTGGAATATGGGATATTTACCCTGTCTCAGCTGTTTTCCAAACTGGGTTTGGAAGCACAAATGTGTTTAAATGGCCAAGAGAGATGCTGAGCCCTTTTTGCCAACATCTGAGCTACACCCTGTGTTAAGAATTACTTTTGTACTGTTATCAACCACTAAACTTGCTTGACCTCTGCCAAGGTTCTTTACCATTTCATGTTTTAAAAACAAGGTTTAATACTTAAACCAGAAAGAAGCAGCAGTTTTCAGGCACAGTGCATTGATATGTAACCCAGAGGTCATTTATTTTTAATACAGATTCAACAATCGGTTTCTTTGTTCCTTCTCAGCCATTTTTTCTTTGGTTTTCTTTTAGAGAGCTGATTCTTGAATTAATTTTGAGCATTTAACTATCTGCATTCTCTTCATCAGTTAATCTTGCACTTAAGTAAAAATACTTGCATGAGTGTGGGAGAGAAGAGTCTGAACCCACATTAGTCCCTTGCATCTTGTATTGACTTAGCCTATCTGGTAACCAATGGGCTGGATCCCAAATAGCACCAAAGTGTGAGTCTGTTTATAGGATAAGGAGCTGAGGCTCAGTTTTGGATGTGTTTTTGATACTACAGACCTAGTGAAAAATAACAATAGGATGTAAATTGATTTCCAGCTTTAAGGCCTTCTTTAGTTGCTTAGCTGAGCAGAGTTTAGTAACTCCAAATGCTTAAAGTTAAATGGTTTTAAGGTTTTCATGAGGCATTTTTTGAATTGATGTAATTCTTTCACTTTGACGGAAGAAGAGGTAGGCCAATGTCAAACTGTTTTGAAAGGCTTGTTTTCATTACCCTGCTTAGAATGTAACTTTGTTTCTTTTGTTCCATCCCCATTTGGCTGAATCACTTTCACTTCCCTGACTCTTCTAATACCTGTTGCATCCTGCTAACCTTTCCTCTAATGTTCAGTTTTCTATTAACTTTTCCACACTGATTATTCTTTGTCTCTCTTCTTTTTTTTACTGGAGTTTTAGAGAGGTCATTATACTTCTTCAATTTCTTTCCTTCCTTCTTCCTGTAATCCAGCAACATATAAACCCCTCTGATTTCAAGTTTGGCTTTTCAGTGAGAAATACACAAGTTAAAAATGTAGTGCTATATCAATAGAAAGGGTAAACAGAGAATTGTCGATGCCATTTCTAGAAAAGGAACTGGGTTTTGCATATTATTAAAAACTATTACCTAATTTTGGATACCAGGATCTAGGCAGTAAGATCAGGATCACCTTAAAGTGATGCTTTAAAAGTCACTATGCTTATTCTAAAAAAACCCCTAAAAAACCAAAAAATAACCAACCTAACACAAAAAAAAAAACCAAACAAACACAAAAGTACAATTATACTGAATAGATTGATTAGACTTGATGTGGCTCTTTTATTGAGCTATCATTGAACTTTTTTTAAGCCTAAGGAAAGACAGTATGGAGTTGGAAGAGAAGCATGGATCTCCATGAAGGGCAATAAGTTGTAGTCATGGTAAGTTAAAAAAAACTACTGTATTTCTGTTAAATTATCACCTTTATGAAGCAACCTGTATTCAGGACCCTGTTCACATTGCAAAATTAATCTAGTTTTATTGAAAGCCTCTACATTCATTTATGCTATCACTGTGTAACGATTGTGTTCTGTTGTATCTGGCTTTGTGGTGTAACTCCTGAATGAAAACAGTAAGTGACATAAAAATCATTATTATCACAGTGATTATGCTACAGTGTTTTCATGCCTAGGTTCTGAGCAAAACAAGATATATTATAGGATTGTGTTATCTCCTAATAACTTTCAAATCCACTGCTTAATTTCAGCTGCATTTGATATAGAGGTAGAGGTCACAAAGTCAAGTTTCTGCAATTTGAATGAAATTTAGCAGCTGTGAGTAGAGAAGGGACTCAAATTAGTGCCCTTGGGGTAGAAAAAGCTGCAGCATGGACTCAGAAATTTTCTATTCTCTTCAACCTGTTGCCTTGCAGGTCAGCATGCTTGGTTGGTCTGCCACTCAACACGTGTAGCTCAGACCTGGCCACAATGTGAGCTGCTTCCTGTTCCCCTAAACATCAGAAGCTGAAATCTAGAGAAATCTGTTTAGAAGAGACTGGGTAAACAGCCAGGCTAGCTTGGTACAAGTGTGTTGGTGGCATCTGTAAGCATGTAGGTAGGTAACTACACTTCATTATTTCTGCTAGTCATGAAAAAGCCTTGGTTTTGCCAGGGCCTTCTAGTCTTCCAAAACACTTGTGAATCATTCCATGATATGGTGTTTTCTATACCTGAATTAGAAAAATGTTTTTCTTGTCCATGTCAGAGAAGGGAACTGTTGAGACAGCTTCAGTATTTAATTTCTTTGCCTGTTTGTATGTTAGCTCTGAGCTATTTCTTAGGCTGTCAAAATTGTAAAACTGTGTTTTCAGGTCTCTCCAGAAACTGATTGTAATTTAGACTGCAGCTACGTGTCCCTGACCCATCCTACAACCTACTCTTTTGGAACGGTGCAGAAAATATGCATTGTATTCCAATATACTTCATTTGTGAAGAAAGATGTGGAGCTAGATAGAGAGAGAGAAAACAGTATTAGGGTCAGGCTTCATCAAGTTACCACACTGCATTGCAACTTGAGAAATGCAAAATCACAGCTGTGTGATTTTGTCACCAAAATCATTCTGAAAGGTCTTGTCTGCCCATTCATCTGAGTCAGTGAGAAATGGGCAGATTACAATTGCCAGAGGTGCTGGGTCACTCACTGTACAGGCTCAGGTAGGCACACTAACTTGGCATATGCCTGATATTTTAAAATTTTCTGTGTTGTGTTAGACAGGGGTCAAGATACAACACTCTTTAAACAAAATTTAGTGTAGCATATTTAAAAGCGGTTGAATTTCTCAGAATAACAAGCCCAAGAGTCATGCATATGAAATGTAAAATTTGAAAGAAGTAACATGAGAAGAAACACTTCCAGTTCAGTATCATAAGGTAACTGTCTTCAAATGTCAAATTTTGTTTGCCCAGTTGAAAACCATCAACCTCGCAACAAGGAACAAAAGCTTGTGATACTCTTTTCCATTTTCTGCTAATTTTCATGGGGTTTTTTCACAAAATCAAAGCTAAGAAGAGAACAATTAGTCATTACAAAAAAAACCCTTGAACAAACTGCATTCAATTTTATGTAACTTTTGGGTTGTCAGATTCTCAAATCCTTTCATTTGGTCCCAGCTTTTTTGTTTATTTGTTTTTAAGTATTGTTGTTTCTTCTGCAGAGCTATCTGTATTAAAGGAATGAAGAAATGTTTTTTTGCATGTTTCTAGGACCTGTTTGTTCTTAAAACGTTTATCACCAGTAGTCTTGCCTAGTATCACCAGTTAAATATTACTTAATGGAACCTATGGCTGTTTTTTAAATGGTTATAACATATAAACATATTGTAATTTATAACATTTTCCTTTTAAAGATCAACCTAGATGTGTTTTTAATAAGAAGAGTAAGGTCAAATAATGGATGTTAAGGTTTGTGTGAACAGCAAAGTGGTGGTGTGTTGTTTAACTATGTTGTGTGCTTCCTGTGTTTTAAATGGTGTTCACAAAGTCCCTAAACTTAATAAAGTTTTTCATAAGGATTTTTTGTTTTAAAAAGATACCACTTTTTGGTCTAAAAATTACTAATTCTAAACTGCTTTTCATTATGTATTTTTGAAGACTTCAGTCATGGATGCTACTGTATGTGGTCAGATACTTTCACAGTCATGAAGACCTCAATAAATTCACAGACCTATGCTGCATCCCTAAAATGGATGTTGTGGGACAGACTTTAAGAGGGTTGAAGCACTAAAAAGTGACTTGCACAATAGACCAAGGAAACTAGCATAATTAATTTTTAGAAAGTGATAATTAAAAAATTGTATTTCAATTAATATCAGTAAAAGCTTCCATAATGTGCTGTCACTACATGTAAAATTCATAAGCAATTTTAAGCCAACATTCTTTAAAGAAGGAGCTAAAAATTCCTATTAAAAATATGCAACTTAAAGATGTATGGGACTCCTTTATTATGTGCTAAATGCTGTAATAAAACAGGCTATCAGTAGGTTTTGCTGCATGTTACTAATTTTATTTTTTTTTAATCTTGGTATTTTTGCAGGTGTGTGGAAGAACAGGTCCTGTTCTCGCTGTTGTTACTCCCACATAGGCAGACTCTGTAATTGATTATGTGTGGGTAGGGCCCTATTGAAATTCAGGAGATTCTGCAGTAGTGCGGGGTTCTTTTTGTGAGAGTTCAGTTGCAAGATCAGGACCCTACTGTGACTCCTTACTGTGCATTCTGTCACTGTCTCATTGATTGTACTGGAACCTGCCTGTTGGGATAATGTAAGTCCTGCTTTTCCCCCTCTTGTACTTTAGATGTGAATTAACCATAAAACATTTCTAATTAGAAAATTAGTATAATTTACATACATTCTTTTAATTATGTTTTTTTTGGCAGTACCAAATACTATATTCCTCAAAACTTCTTAATGGCACTGAGGCTTTGTGGATAGTTGGTCACATGATGAGAAAATTCAGCTGTAAGTACATTAAAATGATTGACTTTTTCAATAGTTAGTCTTTACTGATGTTGGCAAACTAATAGTGATAAAAATGTGAATCAAGAGGTTTGACTTATGTCAAATTACTTCAATTCTTTTTAGAAAATATATAGAGTATACCCATTAAGGATCTTATTATTCTTAGGTAATTCACCATGGGACCCTGAAGTTCTTCCCTACTGCAATTAGGTAGGGAGTTGAGAGTTGTTTGTTTTCTTTATTTTCACAATGGTGTGTCTCTGACTTGCTCTGTGTTTTGATGGATAAACTTTTTGAAATTTATAGATCTATAAAACCTGTTTATACCACTAATATTTGTACAGATATTGCAAACTGATTTACTAACGTAATTGTCTTGCTGGGTTGAATACTGAAATGTTAATAAATATACACTTATATTTGTGTCAGTGTACCTTGGTTAAATTAAACTGAGCTGGCATTATGAGTGAATTTGATCGTACATGCTGATTAGCTATAGTCTTAGGCAGGGACTACATATTACCCATATCATATGTCAGTGGATTCACCCAAAAATAGCTATAAATATCTATGCTTGGGTTAAGGAGGAAGTTCTTTTCCTGTAGTTATGGGTACAGTCATTGCTTTGACTCCTGTTTTTATATACAAATGAGCAAAAACTACATGTAGGTGCTTTCCCTGTATAACAAAAGGGGCATTGTAAACTCTGTGCCCTTTTTTATGATGCTGTATTTCCTTTCTGGTATTTAAATTCAAGGATGTTTTCAGCTGTGTCTTAATCCAAAAAAAAAAAAAAAAAGGAAGAACTGGAAATGTTACTGAATTTGTGGATAATTACCAAGGGGCTGTAAAGGTCTGGAGGAATTGTGTGTATGGACAATTAGAGATTCTTTCTTATGAAGCAAGGACACAGATAATAATTGATGAATAAAGGTTAAGGAGCACAGGATTATTTTTATTGCTTGGCACAAGAGCAGCATGAAATGAAAGTAATTTGAAGAAAGAGCAAGACCAAAGAAAAATAGCTACCGATATTTTTCATTGCACTGAATATATGATAGATTTAAGTTTAAGATTTTCAGTAAATGCTTTTCTTAAAGTTTTTGGTTTTCTTCTGCTGGAGAGGAGTAGAAGAACTTCGAAGTGTTAAAGAAGACTCAGTGACTACTTGTGAATTACAGTATGAGTTGGGGATTCAAGATGACAGTTACAATTAAGAAGAGAAGACAATGGGGTTGCTATATAAAATTAGTGCCAAGCAGAAGCCATAATTTCATGTTCAAACACAAAACTTAATGATTTTGAAATGTATCACCTTCAACAGCACTCAAACCACAATTTTATTATGTTAATTACAGGATGGGTATTTTCAGAGTTCTCATTTAAAAACCTGAACATTTATTCTTTTGAGATTTTGCAATATAAAATGAAATTGAGATTTTTCAGTATGAAACGAAATCATGATTTCATTTCAGAAACTGAAATGTTTCAGAACAGTGAATGTTTCATTTTGCATAAAGAATCCTGATGAGTGTATTTTCTTTTTAAAATGTGTAGACCTAAATGTTTGCCATTTTCACCTTTAATCCTACTGGCCATATATATATTTTACTTGCAGTAAGTTGGGTGAAAGAAAGGAAAGCAGAATTAGATTAGGTGATTGCAAAAAACCCCTAAACACAGCCTTCTAGCTGAGCCTCTACATCAGAAGGGCCTCAGAACAGATCTAATTTCAGAGGAGGAAAGGAAGGAAAGTGACATGCCAGTGAGTGGGTATGGGGAATCCTCTGCATCTTTCATCTCTGTCTGATTTTTTCTCTCATCACCACTGAGAGGCAGATCACCTGGGTGTGACTGCTTCCCCTTCCTGTGATTGCAACTTTCCAGTACTTTGAGGGAGATAATGGTGGGGCATAGCTCTGTTCTGCCTGCAGCAGCACTGCTACTAATGTTTGGAAGAGAAGAAACTCTGAATTATCTCCTGCTGTAACCAGCTCTCCAATACTCACTGCTGCTTAGCCCTGCTGTTAAGTACCTGATCTGATGGTCCCTTTCATTTAACTCATGCCATGATGCTATAAATGACTGAAACAAGGACCAAAGCAAGGAAACAGATATCAAGAGAAGGAGATGATGTTTTGGAATGTAGGGGGTTGGCATTTGCTGCACAGCTACACTTTGTCAGCTCTTGAGAATACCTCAAGAGCTGGGGTGCCAAACTACAGCAACAGAGTAAGCTTCCTTCTGTGCACTGAGAAGGAAGAGCAAAGGAATGTGCCTGAACATTCAGCATGTTAATTGTAAGTCTTTGAGATCTCTTCCCCTACTGCTGTTTGCACTCTGCTTATATGGTGACTGTCCTAAATGTAGCATGTCTTTATTTGTATCGAATGAGGCACTCCTCACGTTGTAACATCAGGAACATTGTTTTTCTTCAACCCTTGAAAGTCAAAACATGGTAGCATAGATAGCTGTAACAAGTTAGGAATAAAAGTGACATGAAAGAATTTTCTTATTTCACAGTATTTATAGGAAAAACAATATTTTATGTGTTTCAAATACCTTTTCTTTTCCAATCCTAAGCAGAATTAATGCATAAAAATTTTCTTCAGCAATGCCCTCAGTTCCTTATTTGCAGTTAGAACTATTACTCTTTAGTTAGTTAGTTTTTTTTAGTCTAGGTTGATGCCTTCACAAAACTTCTCTGAACCCTTCATGAATGACACCATCATGCTGTCATTTGTTTTATCATAAAATCTAGTGTAAACTTGCATTTTAGGAATCTTTTCCCAATCCATAAAGGATGATCATTATTCTCTGTCAGCAGGTTTTTCATCGATCAAGTCTTTATTAGAAAATCTTTTACTTTGCCTTGACAAAATGCAGCCTTGCCTTGCTCATTAGCTGTCAAAGTGCTGCTCTACTGTAAATACCATTTTCCAAACCCACTCCTTTGCTATTTTCAATTTCCTGCTTCATTTTAAAGCAATAAATATAAGCTATCTGTCTTTATTTTCAAGGCTCATCAGGACTACTTCTACCTGATACCTCTCCTTCAGTACCAAGAGGTTGAGTCTGGTTTTGATCAACATATGATGCCAACTTCCTTCATTCAATCATTGAATTTTCAGACCACACTGAATATTTTCTCCTCAGCTGCCTCTCATGTACTGGTTGACTTCTTCATAAACAGAAGTGTTCATTATCTTCCCTCTAATTTTTTCTTGAAAGTTTTATGCACTGTGAAGCTTTAAGCAGTCCAACTAGACAACAGTTATACTGCGGATATAGAGGTGCCAATGGCTATCACAGTAGTACTGTGTCATTGCATTTGGACTCTGCCATAACCCTTCTGTTGCCTCTTTATGTAGAATTTAAGCATATCTATATTTTGTTGTGTGTTTATTCATGGCCCAGTGTAATACAAAGTGGCCCATGGTGAGGCCTTCCAAGATTTATGGTATTACAGATAAATAATAATGAATATACACTGGATGCTGCAGCATAGCTGTTGGATTCTGTTGTCCCTAATGCCACATCATAATTTAATGCAGAAAGAAGGTGCTCCAACCAGAGGCCTCACAAAAGGAAAATGAGTGAGTTGCAGCCAATAGAAAAAAGTGCTAGCCCCAGAGGCCTTCTCAGCTGTCAAACTCAAGTCTATAGCTACTGCCATTGTGTCCTGAAAGCTCTCCTCTCCCTCTCCCTCTCTCTCTCCCTCCCCTCCCCTTCCCGTATAAGGAAGTAAATGCAAATATCACAATGGTCTGCAGTGTATGCAGAAGGTCTTCTTACTTTTGTAGCAAATTTCATTTAATTCCTAACACAGCATCTTATGGTACAGAAATCTTTAATAACCATAATTGTGCCATTCATCAGTCCTTTTTTCAAGTGCCATTTGGTCTCTGTTGGGAAGGAACCTACACTGGTTTTTATTTGGTATCTTGGTATGTCCCTACCTCATAATGCTCTGCTTCCATTGTGCTTCAAAAGTAATGAGCCTTCAGAGAAGCGGTAAGGATTAATGTAATTGGGAATTCCCCAGGCATGTCACCCTCTTTCTGTAAGTGGGTCTGCACGTAAGCCTTTCTTTTAAAGGCACCCTGAAATGTCAGTGTTTAGATTGTACAGAGATGATGGAATGTTGAGTGCCTGGCTGATTACAGAGATGGTAGATTGGACTGTGCAGACAAATGGTGCAGTATGTACCAAAGAAAATATAGCCCAATAGTCTAATTTTATCAGAATAAACCACAAATTGTAGTTCTGTATGGTTCTATGGCTGAGTAGGAGAACTTTAGTAAGAGCTCAGCTAGTTGGAGGGATGGAGGTGAAATTGCTGTGAAATACTGTGGGAGCCTGGGGAGTCTGTACAACCCAAAAGCTTGATCCTAGCAACAGTTCTTGGTTATATATGTATAGACTGGATAAACTGAATGTTAGGCCTCATTAGGCCATCATGCACAGGCTGCTGTTTAGATACCATTGAGCACTAATTTTTGAGCAAACAAGATAGAGAATCCAGAAGGAGAAAGACAGCCCTTGATTTAGTCTAGATCGACATGCAACAAGTGACTGTGGAAGAACCATTCAGTAGTGAGATATCATACTCAAGTTTGTCGTACTTGTCGGAGAAAAAAAAGCTTAAGATAAAATTTTTTAAAAGACCAGTCTTGTTTAAAAAAAAAATTGTATACTAATGAAGACACAGTTTAAATAAATATTCAAAATACACAGGGGCTTTGTTTTCTGATTCTAACCCAATTAAATAAGCCTTTTCCAACATAATTCAGCAGTAAAAGAAGCTACTAGAAATAAATAGAGATTTTTAAAAAAGCAAAATCCAAGCAAGCAAAGCAGAAAAGAGCACAATTCTGGCAAGTGTAGACCTAGTATCAGGCAGAACAAAAAGATTTTGAAATGCAATGGGCTAAAATTCTAAAAGCCAAACCCCACATTTTTCCAGTGTAAATTTTGCTAGATGAGAGGTGAGGTTAATAGATAGTTGTGGTTAAGGAGAAAGACAAAGCCATTACAAAAAGAAATTGAAAGAAATTGAACTCATTGTGCTGGCAAGGTTTATGACAGGATGATTAGGGACATCCCCAAACAGGAGTTGTTTTTATAGGGAGTAGTTCAGATTTGATATCTCAATAAAAGGTTTTTTAAGAAATTGATTGAATACACATTAATAAATTACCCAATAACAT